CCAAAGCTTCTCCCAAGTCTCCTAGGCCGGCCTCAAACTCGGGATCCTTCTGCCTCTGTCTCCTTCAGCAAATCCTACTGCTGTGCGCCACCATAACCAGCTGAGTGTAGCTTGGGCCTGAGCTGGGGCCACCGGCACCAGCTCCTCAAAATGAAGACTCTTGGTAGAGCCACAAAAATATCAGTTTGGGACTTTTAAATAGATACTGACGTCCACGACAAAGAAGTGTTCTGCATGCCAACCATCCACGTCACAGGTGCGTCTCGTGTGTCTCTTTAAAACTTGGTGTGGTTCCACCCACGGATGCGGTGAGTTTCAACTTTGGTTTGTGAAATCGGAGGTGGATTTAAGATATTTTTTGATGGGTCTCACTTTGTAGCCTTGTTTGGCCCGGAACACACGGAGATCCACCTGCCTCTGCCTCTCGATTGCCGGGATGAAAGGTTTGTGCCACCACACTGTGGTGATGCCTTTGGTGGCTAGAGAGATGGTGGGGGCTTAAGAGCACTGGCTGCTCTCTCACAGGGTCAGGTTTGGTACCCAGCACCCGGATGGTGGCCACAACCACCTATCACTCCGGTCCCAAAGAATGCAGCGCCCTCTTCTGGCCTCCCTGGGCACTGCATGAACGAGGTGCACAGACTTACCCCTCAGGCAAAGCACACATAGCAACCCACACACATGACAATAGATAAATGAGTATTTTAAGATGGCATAGTCCTTTATCACCACCTTTTTAAAAACTGAAATATGGAGTTCCACCAGTAACCGCAGTAGTGTTTAGCGAGTTCCCTTTACTAGATCTGTACTCTGTTACTCGTTTTCATTTTGTTTATTTTTCATTCCCTTCCAGGGCTACAGCCATCCTGTTTCATTGTGTCCGCTGACTATGAAGCTTCCTGCCCTGTTCTCTTCTGGATCAGAGATCCCTGTTCTCTCTCCTGTCACCTGGAATACTTAAAATGTGATGTTCAAGGCAGCGATACAATACATGAAGAGGATGCGGAGCAAGGTCACTGCTACTGTTGTTGCCTACACAAACAGACGTAAACAGAGGTGGCGGGAGAAGAGGCCTGCAGAACAGTGTCCAGCATTTGGACAATCCCCTGGGCCAAAAGCTCCGTGTCTTTACAGGACAGATTGAGAGACAGACAACTGGGGCGTTCTGGAGCCAGAGCAGGTACTTGCTGAGGCCTGCCTCACGTGTGTCCTTACAATTCTTCCCAACTCAGAGACTCCTGCGACAGGAGGGCTTAGTCTGGCTTAGAGAGAAGGTGGTCTCTTGGATAAAGTTGTCAACAAATGGACTTGCTGGCGGCTATTGGTGGTGACCCCAGGGATGTGTTCTTCCTTTGCTGGCTATCGGGATGCATTACTGCTTCAATTACCCAGATTTTAGGAGCTTACGTTGAGCTCCTGGCTAGAGCTGAGTTTCAGTCTATCACCTGCTACTGAAGCCTAATTGTCTGCGGGGACTGAGAAAGCAATGGGGAGCCGAAGCTTCCATTGATGGTGGAGATACTAGAGTTCCAGAGACGTAACTCAAGCTCTGGGGCACCATCAGACACACGTGCACACACAGCACCCCCGGCAGGGGATCCACCCCGGCTGGGGATCCACCCCAGCTGACACTTGTGCCTCCTAAAGGAAGCCTGGGAAACTCAAATTACTTCATCAAGGAGTCGTCTCATGAAATCTAGTAGCCTAGAAACCAGAGACCACTAGGAGAAGGAAGCAATTAAGAGAGAATTTTGAAATGGTAACTGTCCACCCAGTGTCTTGGAGGAAAAGGAATGCAGATGGTCTCCCCGAAAAGCTGCCTTTGTGTATATTAGCAAGCTATTGGACAAAGTCTGCCCGCCGCACCTGCCAGATAAAACAGTGTGGGCTGGACGGGGCGGGCAGGGTGTACGCATAAAAGACAGGTCTTATTCAACCTAGAAACATGCCCATAGGGGTATGGTAAAGGATTCAGACTTCGGTCCTGCTCTGGTCAAGGATTTCTATTGATGATTTGAGTAAATCAGAGAAAATACATAACTTACTCATACAACTCACTGAAATAAGCACTACTGCTATTATTATCCCACCCTACAAATGGAAACTGAGGCCCGGCAAAGTTAAGCGATTTCTCTAAGGCAGTATGCCAGAGTTCAAGTGCAAACCTCACGTCTAAGTGTGTCCAGTGTCTGAGATCTTCCTGATAAACACATCTCAATTGGATCTGTAGACTGTTGAAGAGGCAGCTGATGTTTCACGTCGGCTCATGATTCAGAGGACTCAGACCTGGCTAGTCACAGCGAGTCAAAACAATACTTACTCCCGTCAGTTTTTATCTGATTTAAATTATTACACATTGGCCTTAAAATGCCTACAACGTAAGTAAGGCCTTGACTTAGTGGAAAGTGGGTCTTTTAAGTACAAGGTGAATTAATTATATAATCTGTCGGCCCCCAACAGATAATGCTAATCCCTTCAGGCTACAGAAATGAAAGACTAAGACAAGACGATGCCCCACACGAAGAAAAGCAGCTTGGTCTCTGATCTGGGCACATTTGAATCATGAAGCTCAGCTCCACGTATCACATACCACACTCTAAAGAAAGCATCATATGAAATAGATGTGTATTGTGCACCTATTAGTCTGCCCATCTAATCTTGCATAATCTTAGCAGTACTAAGACATAGTAGAGCTTCCAGAGAGCACTCAGAGGCAGATAGAAGTAGCTAGGGTTGGCTGCACAAACTGGCCCCAAAGCACACAAACTTCCCCCCAGCACACCCCCAACTCTGCTGTGTGCTCCAAGGTGGACGACTGGGACAAAACACATGGAGGGACAGCTGCTGTAAGAGAAAACCCAGGAGCCAGAGACAGTCCTTCCAGTGGCAGATGGCTGTCACAGAGCAAAGGGGCTGCCAGCGGCTGGGCCACTGCAGGTCAGTACAGGCTGCTGCTGCTGCTTTGGAGAGTCAGGAGGACTCACCTGCCCACGAGCAGGGACTGAGTCCCCTGAGCTGGCCCCCCTGCCCATGAACAGGGACTGAGTCCCCTGAGCTGGCCCACCTGCCCATGAACAGGGACTGAGTCCCCACTGCAGTGGTGGCTTCCTCTGCCCCCTGGATGATACAGAGAGCAATCACCAAGATTCCTAGTTGGAAGTGAGAACAGCTGGTCCTTCGGATCCTTAGCTTGACCTCTGAGCATCTGGGACAGATCACACTGGGGTTTCTGTAAGACCCTGCTGCTGCAAGAGTAGGTAAATTTGTTTTATTTTCTATGAAAGCATTTTTTTTTAATTAAATTAACAAAATCATCCTCTTTAGTTAGGTGGTGGTTGCGGATGCCTTTAATCCCAGCACTCAGGAGGCAAGAGGCAGGCTCATCTGAGTTCAAGGCCAGCCTGGTCTACAGAGCGAGTTCCAGGACAGCCAGGGCTACACAGAGAAACCTTGTTTTGAAAAACAAAAACAAAAATTATCCTCTTTAATTCTAAGTGGAAGATAAATTAATTATGTTTGTGTTTTCTCTCTCCTTTAATGAGATTAATAAAAATTATGTATACAGCTCTAAAACATTCAAATTTCCATCATTCCTTGATTTTGTAAAATGAGCATTCCTGCTGTGTGTGCATTTTTTCTTCCCATGTTTTTGTTGATTCTTTTGCTAGAGACACACTTGGCTTTTAAAAGCATAATTATTTGTAGGCCAGCCTAGCCTACAGAGTGAGTTCCAGGACAGCCAGGGTTTTTACACAGAGAAACTCTGTCTTGGAAAACAAAGAAACAAACAAACACATAATTATTTGTACTCCATTTGATTAGCAACACTTAGCCATTACTGTTGTTCCTTTGGGAGTTCTGTCTCTGGATCATCCGTAATCAGATGGTACTTCCTGCCTCCTTAGTGGGCGGGGAGGACAACATGATTTGTTCTACCACTGGTTTGTGAGAGGGAGTGGTCAGTGTCATCTCTGGGCCAAGCATTCCCTGGATTACCACTGCAGGGCTCTCCGGATTTGCTTTGTTTTGTGGTTTGAGGTCCCAGGGGCCAGAAGCACTCAAGATGAGCCAAGGATGAGGAGATAGAGGACAGAGTTCCCGAATGACGCACACAGTGGGAGAGAGGCGGAAAAATTTCTACTTGGACTGGAGAGATGGGTCAGAGGGTAGAAGCCCACCCAGACTGCTCTTGCAGAGGACCCACGTTCGGTTTCTAGTAGTTTCCAGCACCCACATCAGGCATCTTGCAACCACTTGTAACCCCAGCTCCAGGGGATCCGATTCCCCTTTGACCTCTGAGGACACTCCCACATGCACATACCCCTGCCCCGCCCCCCACGTACACATAAAACAAACAAACCTTTACGCTATTTAAGCCACTAATATCTTGGAGTTGTTACTAAGTATAACTGAAACTTTCCTGACCAGGACTGGGCCCATGAAACACAGACCTACGCTGTCCACCTTTGGTGATGAAAGTGCTGTAGACTTCCACCTGTCACTTTGTTTCTTTTGTGTCGTTGTTGGTTCTGGGGGTTGACTCCAGGGCCTTGTACATGCTAGGCAAGTGCTCTACCGTGCCACAAGGCTGTATCCCTAGCCCTTATGCTTCGATCTAAGTGATTAAGTCTACACCACCAGCCCTTGGCTCTCTCAACAGCTCCCGGCATGTAGCCAAGTGTGGCTGATGCCTCCCGTTCAGGGACAAAGTGCAGTTCCGTTCATGTCGGAAGTTATGTTGGACGGTGCTGGCTGGGTTAGGGCTTTTATGAAAGCTGATAATGACACCCGCTAACATGTCTGAATGTTTTGGGTACGCACATCTAGCAACACCTTAGAGTTAGTCTTTAAACTTTCACCGTTTTAAAAGTGAGCTCTCTGGGAGAAAGGAACGGCGCTTACCTTCGAGAAGCAAACCTATCCTCCCGAGCAATTAGGTTCCCTAGAACCGAACAGCTCAAGAAGCCGTTTCCCGAAGGTGACGTTGACATCTTTTCATTCCTCTTGACACCTTTCGTAAATGAACCCCCAAGCTATTGTTATCTCCGTCCATCTCCTCAGAGCCTACAAGCCTCATATTTTTGTATTCCTAACTCTCCTCTGTCTCTAGGAGGGACAGTGTGTCCTGAGAAGACCTGATGTGTGTGCATCGTTGAATAAATGGTTTATTATCAATATTGTGAGTATTTTCAGTGGCTATTACATGAAGGTATTGTGGGAGTCCAAAACGAACCAGATGTAAAAATATTCATCCAAATCTACTTATTGACTCATTCAACAATCATCTGAGATCCAGAAACACAGAGTAGTTAACATTCCCCTCAAGGGGACTTGATTTGGCAGCACATATGTTAATATTGGAATAATACAGAGAAGATTATGAAAGAAGGACCCTGTACAACAATCTCTCTGTGTGACTCTCCCTCTGTCTGTCTCTCTCTCTCTGTCTGTCTCTCTCTGTCTGTCTGTCTGTCTGTCTCTCTCTCTCTCTGTGTCTCTCTCCAAAATACATGTTTCCCCGGAGCATCCTATAGTCTGATGAGAGTTAGTGGAGTATACGTCAGATTCGGTGAGAGCAGAGCTCAGAGGAGACGATGATAAACTTCATCCTGAGAGAATCTGCAAGGCGGGCGGTGGGAGGAGAAAAGAGGTCTGCACAAGAGACACACAGATCAGGATGTTCCTGCCTGAGGAGGTGAAACCCGGAATTCAACGGTCTAGCCCACCAGCGTATCATTTCTCATGGAAGTCCAGAATGGGGCCGGGAAGGGAACTCATTGACTGAAGGCCTTTGCTGGAAAGCCTGACAACCAGAGTTCCACCCCAAAGACTCCTATGAGAACCAGCTTCTGTGGCTTGCCCTCTGACCTCCACACACATGCCATGCACAGCATGCATGCGCTACCCACCCACATATAGAATAAATCAACACTTTTAAGTCCATAAGTGGGATTTAATTAGTGGGCCAAGAGCACAGGAAACCACTTCCTTCTCCTCTGTATCCTTAGCACCTTGGACCTCAGGCTGGTTCCCATCTCTGTCCTAAGATTCCCCTGCATTTCCAAGCTACGTCAGGAGCATCTGTGCCCAGCGGGACAAGAAGGTATCTCTTCCATTGGAAGAAACCCCAATGGAATTACATATATCATTCCATTTAAAATTTTTGAGATTTTAAATGGGGGGAAGGGTCTCACTCTGTAGCCTGGGCTAGCCTGGAACTTATGACAGTCCTCCTGCCTCAGCCTCCTGAATGCTGGGACTACAAACATTAGCTACCATGCCGGGCTTCGTGCATACTGCTCTTTACCGCCCATGGGCCAGACTGCCGCCTCTCCTCTCCTGAAATGCAGGGGGGATTGGAAGTTTCAGACTGTTCAGAGTTTCCTTCTGACCGGAGGTGGGCCAGCCTTTCCTGAGGGGCAAAAATTCTGAAGAATCATGACAAAGGTTGGGAAACTCCATCACATGTGACTCTTAACTGAAAAGATGGGAATATTGTTGGTAGACAAGGCATAGATCTTCTGTAGCTCCATGTTGTTTGAGTCCTGTAGCCATCATAACTGTGAGGCAAATAAATCTCTTACTTCATAACATACTCTGTCCCAGGTGTTTTATTATGGCAATATAAAATAGACTAACACAGTCAAAACATTAGCTGACAGAAATTGGTAGCAAGAGAAGGTATTGTGGGAAGAAAGGCAAAGACTAGAGTCCTTCTGTGCAATGGAAGTCAGGAAAAGCATGCGGTGACCTGTTAAGCCGGAGTGAACGGGACTGGGGGATGGCTGTGTGTGTGTGTGCTAAGAGCACTGGCTGCCCTTTCAGAAGACACAGATTTGATTCCCAGCACCCAAATGTCGGCCCACAACTGTCTGAAGCTCCAGTCCCGGGGGATCCGACACCTCCTCTGATCTCCATAGCCACTGTACACATGTGGTACACAGACATACACATGGGCCAAACACCCATGTACGTGGAATGAAATGAAGGTTAAAAATGTAAAAACTACAAAAGAGTGTGCTTATATGTATTCCCCAATTGTGTATTTTTTAAAAAAGGTTTATTTATTTATTATGCATCCAGTGTTCTGCCTACATGTATCCCTGCAGGCCAGAAGAGGGCACCAGATCTCATTACAGATGGTTGTGAGCCACCATGTGGTGGCTGGGAATTGAACTCAGGACCTCTGGAAGAGCAGCCAGAGCTCTTAACCTCTGAGCCATCTCTCCAGCCTGAATTGTGTATATTTAAAAGAAAAAGAAAAAGAAAGAGAAAAGCCAGAGTGAAGTAGGAAAGGCCATGATATGTTGGCTGCTGATCCCTGGTAACTTATAGGGAGCTGCCTCCATTTACAGAAAAGCAAGACAGGTTAAAGAGAGTTGGCCAGAAAACGGAAGTACACCCCTTCGGAAATTCTCTCCCAAAGGGACAGAGGAGGTGGATTAGCAGCAGAGAGAGAGCAAGGGCCGTGAGTTTCCCTATTTTGTTTAGCACAGGAGAGATGATGCACTTTCATAGGCTGAAGGAAGCTGGCAGCATCTGGGGCTAACATAAACCAACCTGGCTTCTCCCACCCCAGCTTTGTCTGGCTCCTCACCCCAATATCCCTCTCAGACAACTCCCTGGCCTGTTTCAAGCCTTTGGGCCGATGTCACCTCTGAGGGCAGCTTCCCGAAGCCGCCTCTGTGACGGGCAAACCTCCTGCACACTAATCCCCTAAACCTGCTCCATGTTCCTAGCACAGGTCATCCATCACTTGATTTCATGCTCAGTAATTTACGATTTGCTTTGGGTGACAGTTCCTGTTCCTCTCTCCCCTTCTAGAAGGCAAACTCCACATGCACCTTTATGGCAGTGACTGACAAATATACCTTGAAGAGTGCCTTGGTTTTTTATCTTGATTTTTTTTTAAAAAATATTTTGCCCTTAAATAAAGGTATTCTTTCAGAATTTCTTATGTGTGTGTCATGAATTACATACTCCCTATGTCTCCCTTCCAGCTCCTCCCAGGTCCCTCCCAACACATCCCCCTCACAACTTCATGTCTTCCTCTTTTTAACCCACGAAGTCCAATCAGTGCTCTCCTCAAGCGCATGGGTGCATGGGTGTGAGGCCATCCACCGGCAGCCGGACAACCTGCTAGTGGCCACACTTTCAAAGACAAACTATTCTTTCTCCTGGCAGCTACTTAATATCTTCAATGAAAGCATTCTGCTACCACGTCTTGTTCTGTTTTCTGGTTTTGTTGTTGTTTGTCTGTTTTGACATGGTCTCCCTTTGTAGCCCAGACTGGCTTCAAACTCATAATCCTCCTGCCTCAGCTGAAACCAGGCGCTATGATTATAGGTGCCATGCCACCACTCCAGGCCTCTACTAAGTTTCCAACTTCACCCCTAATCAAATAAATACCCAGAACTGTCCCTGGTACATGGTCAGGCTCATAAGATGATTGTACAAGAAATAAATAGGATTCAGAGTTTGAAGCATTGGGGAGAACCAGGAGTGGTGGTACACACACCTTTAATCCCAGCACTCAGGAAGCAGACGCAATCATATCTCTTCGAGTCTGAAGGAGCCTGGTCTACACAGAGTTCTAAGCCAGCCAGGGCTACATGGGGAGGTTTGTTTGTTTGTTTCTTTGTTTCTTTGTTTGCTTTCCTTTCTCAAACAAAAAGATAAAGGAAACAAGAAAAGCTTAAGAAATGTGACTTATGAGGTGAGCGAAGGAAAAAGTACACAAACACAAAGATTAATATGGGAGCCAGAGAGATGGTTCAGCAGTTAAGAGCACTGGCTGCTCTTCCAGAGGACCCGGGCTCGATTCCCATCAGTCATATGGCGGCTCACCACTATCTATAACTCTAGTCCCAGGGAAATCTGACACCCCCTTCTAACCTCTGAAGGCACCAGGCATGCGCGTGATGCACAGACACACTTGCAGGCAGAATACCAATGCATGCAATAAAAGAAAATGTAAGAAGACGTCAGTAGGCTAAGCTGGATGCAGAATCCGAATCCCATTCCTCTTGTTCAGACCTGTCTCTGCCACTTACTACTTGGGCAAAGGGCTTTTTGCTCTCTTGTTTCCACCTCCTCTTGTTTGTTGTTTGTTTGTTTGTTTGTATTCTGAGACAGCCCTCGCTGCATAGCACAGGCTAGCCTCATGCTTGTGGTAATATGCCTGACTAGACCTTCCCTGAGCTTACAGGCGTGAGCCACCACGTCGGCTCATTTCCTTTTCCTTAAAACACAAATAATGACAGCATCTCTCAGAGAGCTGCCTATGAGTGAACGAGCTACCACCCCGGAGTTACTGTAAACGGTGCCTGGTGCATCGTAGGTGCTTTAAAAACCACGAGCGCTAATAGTGGTACAGGTGGTTCCGGGACCCAGGGAAGAGAAAGGGAAGGAACACAGAGGAGTGAAACATGCCAAAGACCACGGAAGGAAGGCAGGAAGACGGTAAGAAACCCAGGCTCCAGAGCCAGGCTGTTGCGGGGCGGGATTGGGGGGGGCAGCACCCTGTGCTCTGCTGTGACTGGGTTCACGCTAGCAGCCTGGCTAGATGTGGTCATGATGCAGACCCTGGACTCTCACTGCCTGAACTCCTGCGCTAAGAAACAGATTCAAAACTGATGACCTGAGTTTGAAAACACAGAGCTCTGTTACTTTCGACAGACAGGCTCCAATCCGTGCAGACTCCCACGAAATATGAGAACGGCCATGGTTTCCCCCCTCCCTCCAGCAGACCTCTTTTGGGTTTTCTTTTAGCTTTATCGTTTAGTGTGTTTAAACACATTTGGGGAACCTAAGAGATTCTAGCGGTGCCCACGACAATGGCTGCTAAGGGCCACAAGGCCCTGGAAAAGACAATTCCCCAAAAGGGTGCCTGGGGAAGGCAGATAAAAGACCCAAGTTGGGTCATGTGACAGGTGTCACTTGAGTAAGATACTGAGGCCAGAGATAAAAGCCCACTCCTTCTGGTCACATGACTCAGCTTCATTACGCTCCCGGCAGGGGGCCAGAGAGGCTGGATGCCATTTTTTTACTTATTTATTTATTTGTGTTTTTTCTTCTTATTCTGTGATAATGAGAAAATGTTTAAACTCCCATCTCTGTGTTTAAACATTTCCTCCTGCTGACAGCGGCGGGATGCCCTTGATCAGCTGTCAGATTGGAAAGTGCAATTTTTTCTGGAAAGTAAACAGTGTGTTGGCTGGTGGGAAATAATTCTCTGTTTATTGGTAGCTGTGAGCCGAGGAGTGATGGGGCCCGGTGACAGCCCTTGTCAAGCGAAGAGCAAGAAACAAGTTTGGAAATACCTTTAAGACATCTCCGACAATAGGGCCTGACTGCTTTCTGATAGAAATGTACTCTGAAAAAGTTAAATTAAACCAAGTCAAAAAAAAAAAAAAAAAAAAAAAACTTTCCCAGTATTACCAACTTCTGGCACTCTTGTGGCAAAACTGGCATAGAATCAGGGTAAACACTCGGCATGCAGCTGTCAGAGGGTCCTTGACAGTCACTCAATGGCCTGCTTTACCTTGGGGAAACCGAGGCTTGGGCACAGGCCTTAACCTCTTCTCACCAGTCAGAGGAAGACATAGCGGTTCATACAACAGAGAAACAAATTTGTCTTCTTTTAAAAGTCCTGCATGGAACAGCCTGATGTGAGAGGCCTGCTCTGCCCTCTGAGGCCATGGTCATGTGTGGGCCTGTGGTCTTACCGCAGCCGGGGTTGGCGTTGATAACCACGGCTCGGTTACCACCAAAGGCTATGCGGGTGTCCATGGTCTGTGCTGTACCCTGAAGCCAGCTGCTGCACTTGGGAAAGCCGGCTCTGCCCCTTGTCTGGGCACCAAGAGAGAGCTGGCCCTGGTGATGTGGATGCAGGAGGGCTGGCACCAGAGACATGGGCACAGGGAAGCGGGAAAGCTGGTCCTGTGCCTCGCCTGGCCAGCAGAGAAGCTGGCTGGTGGCATGGGCATGGGAGAGCTGGCGGGCTGACCAGCTCAGCTACCGTCCAGGCCCAGATCGTGGGCTCTGATTTGGCCCGCCCCGACATCTTCCCCATCTATGAGCTGCTGGAGTGTGTGAAGGGCCTGGTTCCAGGGAACCACAGCTGCAGGATCTCCCTGACTCAGAGAGCTACAGCAGGACATCCAAGCGTCCCTATGAAGGTCTAGTATTGATGGTGTAGCTGATGCCAGAGACCTTGAACTAGACTAATGACTCATTGCGTTGAACATTCTAAAGTCAAGCTGTTTGGGCAAGAGAGTGTACTGCCGTGGTAGTTTGGATGTAATTGGCTCCCATAATCTCAGGGAGTGACACTATTAGGAGGTGTGGCATTGTTGAAGTAGAGGTCATTGTGGAGGTGGGCTTTGAGGACTCATACATGCTCAAGATACCGCCCAGTGACTGAGGCCACTTCCTGTTGGCTGCAAGATGCAGAACTCTCGGCTACTTCTCCAGCACCGTGTCTGCCTGTACACAATCATGTCCCACCATGATGATAATGGACTGAACCTCTGAACTATAATTGAGCCACCACAATTAAATGTTTTCCTTATAAGAGTTGCTGTGGTTGTGGTG